TCCTACAAGCTCTAAGAATTCTCAACCTGCACAATAACTTCTTTCTTGGCGTTCATTCTCTTTGGCTTTTCTATTGGAGTTTGACAGGTAATCAATACCCTCAATTTTGAAATTCTCTTCCTCAGTTTCTTTAAACTGAGTTCTACTTCTCTTCCCACCTTCCCAACTGTTTACTCTGCCTCTCTTGACCCATTATTGCAGCCTTGCCCAAGGTGGTACACTCAGCCCTCTTCTCTTCTGCTTTCTCTTTTATCTCACAATTTCGACTACCAGTTACACAAAGATGATTCCCCAGAACCACTTACTCAGGCTAGCACCTAACACTTCCACCAGACTGTCTGCTGAATATTTTCATTGGAATAAAACCCTGCTTCTCCCGAATGACCACTGTGGCCTTTTCCTCTTTCTCTATTTATATTCAGTCAGTCAGTTGTCAATCTTGTCCATTCCTTGTCCATGACTTCTCAGGAATCTGTCCCTTTCTTGTTATTCTGTCACCATTCACTCTCAGCTTCATATTTCCTGATCCCTGGGGAACAAAAATAGCCTCTCAACTGTCCTTTTGCTTTCTGTCACTCCCACGGCAAATGACTAGGAACCTATTACAAGTAAGGGCCGCTGCCAAGTAGTGAGGCAGACTAATCAATCCTCCAAAGCACTGCTTTGACCACAGCACTCCACTGCTCAGAAAGCTTCTGCAGTTCCCGAATATCCAGTGAATTCTAAAAAATTTACCCAAGCTATTGTTAAGAGATATCTGCTATTATTCTCATCATTTTACATCATATCAATTTCCTAACATATTATGGCCCAATGGCGGGTGTCTCCTCACCTTATTTTGACTTGGGTGATCAGTGACTGTTCAACAAACAGTTTTGACTGGTTGTTTTTCCTTCCATTTTATCATTATAAAAACTCAAATTGGGAAAAAACATGTTTTGTACTTCCAAGCAGAGAAGACTACACTTCAACTTTGAAACCCCTGTGGGGTTAGAAGTACTTCCTCTGACAATCAGAATGAAACCAATGTTCTTAGAATGGAAACTGCTCAGAAGAGTTCTCAGCATTGTGATAAAGTAAGGGTGCCCTGCCTTTGCTGCAGGAACCAAACTCATAGATTAGTTGAATCTGAACACGAGCAGAAAGAATCTAACAATTTGGGTGAATATATACTCATGTTTAGTCTGATTATCGAACGCCCTCAGAATACTTCTGGGATCCCACTTTCACCTCAAGTTCAGTAAAATATTCCCTTCCAGGTTACAGGAGTCATGATCCTGAAAATGCTGTGGAAGAATTCATAATTTTTAAAAATATACAGTTTTAAGAGAAAATAAGGGGTGGAGAGAAACTCAGGAAATTCACAAAAACTTTCTCCCATTCATTAAAGTAAAGCAATAAAAATACCATACCAAGCTAACAGGTATAGAAATGGTATTTTAGCTCATATTAGGGATAATGAATATAATTTATTTGTTTCATATCTCGTGATGCCTAGATACTTTCATGATCTCCCTCTTGGGCAAATTAACAGAATGCTTATACATTCACTTTACTTTTTGCAGCTAATACGCATATAAGAATCACTTTTCTGCTTTCAGTCTCCCAAAAATTCAATGTCTTTTAATTTTATGACTCAACTCATTCCTCTAAGTCACTCTCAGAGAACAAAATTATATTATACATGGTAGATGTAACTGCTCAAGCTACAGGAAAGGCAAACAAAAGCATATCTTGCCTCTTAAGCTACATTTCTTTCCCAATTTTTTTTCCACATCATTCAATGTTAGCCATTTCTTCAGATATCTAATTTTCAAATCTCGAAATATATTTCACTTCTTTTACCAATGCACCCCTTAAATTTATCTCAAAGCCAGCCACTCTTAAATTCATCCTATTTTCACTACTACACTCTAACAAGCTCTGGTCATCTAACATCCAGAACCCAGTGGGTCCTTCCAATCAAGAGTCAAGCCCTTCTTGAACTCAAGGATTTTCTTCTGTTGTTTCTAACTTTCTTCCATTTTCTCTCATCATTCTTATTAAAATTTCTATTATAGGATGTGAGGACTCCTAAATCTAGCCTCCCATATTGCCTTAACTTTTCTACTATATTTTTTTTCTCTTTGTCTTTCTACATTCTCAGAATCCCTAAACTTTCTTCTAAGCTAGCTAATTTGATTTTTACACTCCATTACTTAATTTTTATTTAAAAGATCATGTTTTAATTCCAAAGTAAATTTAGTTTCTTTTTCACAGTAATCTTTTTGTTTGTTTGTTTGTTTTTTGGTGGATATATCTTCCCAAATAGCTGAGAATTTAAAATTTATTCTGTGCCCTATATCAAACTCCTCTGCTGTTTCATTATTCAGTTGACTGAATTTGGTGCCTCTCTTTCAGACTGTTTTTCCTCAAAAGCATAGTTCTTTTAGGTTGTCCATTCATATTTGTAGATGAGGGTTTAGAGTTACATTATGATAGGTAGGTTGTGTTTCCTCAGCCCATGTGAGAATACATTTGGCTAGCAATGAACCTAAGCTCTGACCACAGAACTCCTGTCTAGAATTAGTCTGTGGGAGAGATAGGAACCATGTAACTAGCCAGGCTTTCCTTTAATGATGGATGAGTATCCTATCCTCCAGGTTCTAGAGATCTAATACCCTCCAGGATAGCTAGCTACGAGCTACCTAAAGCACTGCCCCTACTTTCTCCCACAGAATCCACTTTGGAATTTCCTATGAATTTGCAATTCAGAGAGCTGAATTTCTGACATTATCTCATAAGGAAAACCACAGACAACTACACTGATAGGTAAACAGCTTAGTTTGCCAAAACTTTAATTACCTGGCTGTGCCCATGGCGTGCTCTTTCTCCTAGGACATCCTTGTTTTTGACATTAGGGATAATGGAAAATGACAATTTTTGGATGGTCTTATAACTGTCTGAATAGGTTCACTAACCTCTCTAGGGTTTTGCCATTGACTGGTTCTCAACTGCTTTATCCAACCAGAAATTCATCATATTCTGGTCTGCAAGTGGCATACCTCTCAAGTTTTGTTTCTCTGGAGTTATTTTTATATTTCCCCCTCAATATTATTT